TCGTTTCATTTACCTTTTGTATTTTTTTGTGTGTTTCAGTTTCATTTAGTTCTGGTCTGATCATGTTTTTTTTTTGTTTTTTTTTTTTTCTGCTGTTGGGTTTGGGTTTGGTTTGTTCTTGTTTCTTTAGTTCCTTGAGGTGTGAGCTTAGAATGTCAGTTAGTGCTCTTTCAGTCTTTTTGATATAGGCATTTGGTGTTACGAACTTTCCTCTTAGCACCGCCTTTGCTGTATCCCAGAGATTTTGATAGGTTGTGTCATTACTGTCATTCAGTTTGAAGAATTTTTTAATTTCCACGTTGATTTTGTTTTTGACCCAATGCTCATTCAGAAGCAGGTTATTTAATTTCTATGTAGTTGCATGGTTTTGAAGGTTCCTTTTGGAGTTGATTTCCCTTTTTATTCCACTGTGGTCTGAGAGAGTGCTTGATATAATTTCAATTTTCTTAAATGTTTTGAGACTCTTATGGCCTATCGTATGGTCTATCCTGGAGAAAGTTCCATGAGTTGTTGAATAGAATGTGTATTCTGTGGTTGTTGGATGAAATGTTCTGTATATATCTATTAAGTCCGTTCGTTCCAAGGTGTCATTTAAATCCATTGTTTCTTTGTTGATTTTCTTTCTTGATGACCTGTCAAGTGCTGTCAGTGGAGTACTGAAGTCCCACACTATTATTATGTTGCTGTCTATCTCATTTCTTAAGCCTATTAGTAATTGTTTTATAAATTTGGTAGCTCCAGTGTTAGGCACATATATGTTTAGGATTGTGATAATTTCCTCTTGGACAAGGCCTTTTACTGTTATATAATGTCCCTCTTTGTCTCTTTTAACTGCTGTTGCTTTAAAGTTTGTTTTGTTAGATATAAGAATAGCTACCCCACTCACATTTGGTGTCTATTTGCATGAAATGCCTTTCCCCCTGCTCTTTACTTTAAGTTAATATGAGTCCTTATGTGTTAGTTTAGTCTCCTGAAGGCAGCAGGTAGTTGGCTGGTGAGTTCTTATCCATTCTGAGGTTCTGTATCTTTTACATGGAGCATTTAGGCCATTTACATTCAATGTTAGTATTGAGATGTGAGTTACTATTGCATTCATTGTGCTATTTTTTGCCTGTGTACCTTGGATTTTTTGATGTTTTTGCCTTTTAACTTGTTTTTTTGTTTTATAGGTCCTGTGTGATTTATGCTTTAAAGAGTTTATGTTTTGATGTGTTTCCAGGATTTGTTTAAAGATTTTGAGCTTCTTTTAGCAGTTCTTGTAGTGGTGGCTTGGTAGTATCAAATTCTCTCACCGATTGTTTGTCTGAAAAAGACCGTATCTTTCCTTCATATATGATGCTTAGTTTCACTGGATACAAAATTCTTGGCTGATAATTGTTTTGTTTGAGGAGGCTGAAGATAGGGCCCCAATCCCTTCTAGCTTATAGGGTTTCTGCTGAGAAATCTGCTGTTAATCTGATAGATTTTCCTTTGTAAGTTACCTGGTGCTTCTTTCACCGCTCTTAAGATTCTTTTCTTCGTCTTAACTTTAGATAACCTGATGACAATGTGCCTAGGCAATGAGCTTTTTGTGACGAATTTCCCTGGTGTTTTTTGTGCTTCTTGTATTTGGTTGTCTAGGTCTCTAGCAAGGTGGGGGAAGTTTTCCTCGATTATTCCCCCAAAATGTTTTCCAAGCTTCTAGAATTCTCTTCTTCCTCAGGAACACCAATTATTCTTAGGTTTGGTTACTTAACATAATCCCAGACTTTTTTTGGAGGCTTTGTTCATATTTTCTTATTCTTTTTTATTTGCCTTTGTTGGATTGGGTTAATTCGAAGACCTGGTCTTCGAACTCTGAATTTCCTTCTTCTACTTGTTCAATTCTGTTGCTGAGACTTCCCAGAGCATTTTGCATTTCTATAAGTGTCTCCAGTGTTCCCTGAATTTTTTATTGTTTTTTTCTTTAAGCTATTTTCCTTGAATATTTTTCCCTTCAATTCTTGTATCATTTTTTGGATTTCCTTGCATTGGGCTTTGTCTTTCCCTGTTGCCTCCCTAATTAGGTTAATAATTAACCTTCTGAAGTCTTTTTCAGGTAAATCAAGGATTTCTTCTTGGTTTGGATTCATTGCTGGTGAACTGGTGTGATTTCTGGGGGGTGTGAAAGAGCCTTGTAACTAGAGTTGATTTTCTGGTTCCTTCTCGTTTGGGTAGGCTCTGTCAGAGGGAATGTCTAGGGCTGAAGGCTGTTGTTCAGATTCTTTTGTCCCACGATGTGTTCCCTTGATGTAGTACTCTCCCCCTTTTCCTATGGATGTAGCTTCCTGTGAGCCAAACTGCAGTGATAGTTGTCTCTCTTCTGTGTCTAGCCACCCAGGGAGACCTGGCTCCGGGCTGGTACTGGGGGTTGTCTGCACAGAGTCCTGTGATGTAAACTGTCTCTGGGTCTCTTAGCCGTGGATACCAGAGCCTGTTCCAGTGAGGGTGCAATGAACTCCATGAAGGTTCTTAGCTTTGGTGGTTTAATGCTCTATTTTTGTGCTGGTTGGCCTCCTCCAGAGAGCATCAGCTATGGTAGTATGGAGAGGAATGGATGGTGGGTGGGGCCCTAGAACTCCCAAGATTATATGACCTTTGTCTTCAGCTACCAGGGTGGGTAGGGAAGGACCATCAGGTGAAGTCAGGGCTAGGCCTGTCTGAGTTCAGACTCTCCTTGTGGGGGTCTTGCTGTGGCTGAGTATTTGGGGTATCTCCTGGGTCCTGCAGGAGCAGTCAGCTTCCTTCAGAGGGTCTGTGGGTCCTTTCGGGATTGCTGGCTTGTGCTAGCAGTCGATCTGGAGCTGAAATTCACAATGCAAGCCTCCGCACACTGCTCTGTCCATCTGAATAATCTAGTTCTGCCTCCCGTCTGCCATAATGATCTCTCTCCCTCTCCATTGCTTTTAGAAAATAGGAAACCTAAGTAGATTACAGAGAATCAAGTTTGATACACTTAATCTACTCAGGCTCAGAAAGGAGAGGTCACAAATCCTAAACCATTCTGAAAATCATCAGTATTGGAATGCATTCAACACATGGTTGCTGAGGACCTACTCTGTACTGAGCACTGTTCTAGAAATAATACAGTGTTAAACCTGACAAAAATTCTCGCTTGTGGAGCTTGCATTCCAGTGAAGACTTTTCCTTCTTGGCAGCAGTTCTAGGTGGGATGGGTGGGGTGATGGCAAGGAGAAAGAGAATGAAGTTGTAGATTGTGGAAATTGCACACTTGCTCTATTATCTGATCATGAAATAAAAACATAAGCAATGTGATATCCAGGCCTTATGACTCATGCCTGTAATCTCAACACTTTGGGAGGCTAAGGTGGAAGGATCATTTGAGTCCAGGCATTCAAGACTAGCCTGGGCAACATAATGAGACCTCATCTGTACAAAATATTTTTAAAAATTAGCCGGGCATGGTGGCATGCACCTGTAATCCCAGCTACTTGGAAAGCTGAGGTGGGAGGATCTCTTGAGCCAGGGAGGTCAACATTGCAGTGAGCCCTGACCATACCACTGCACTCCAGCCTGAGTCACAAAGCAAGACTCTGTCTCAAAATTAATAATAAAATAATAAACCAAAAAAACTGATAGCAATGTGAACCAAATAGATTTTTATAAGGATGATATCCATTAAGTCTTCTTCATTCTCATGGCTCTTGTCCCTGTGTTTAGCTGCCTTAAGAATGTAGCCAAATCTTATCTCCCTCTAGTGAAAATCACTTAGTAGAAAGTTACATTAATGCACAAATTCACAAAGAGAATTTGCATGATTTTCAGAACCAAATTAATCCCTAATTTACTGGCATACAGCTCTTTGAGCCAAAAGATCATATTGCATTTTAAACAATATAAACTCATCCTTTATCAGTCTTCATTTGCATAAGAAGCATCTTATTCTCAGCCAAACAATGCAAATCAAATCCTGAAAGTTATTTGTTCCAGCACAAGACTTTGAATATTCTGTTTCATTTTCTACTCCTACAGTTAATCTGCCAGAGCCAAGATTATTCCTTCATCTTTTCTTAGTCCCTGAACCTTTTGCAAAGCCAATGAAAGTGATGGGATTTCTCAGAAATATGAGGGTACAGGAAAATGTGCACTCATACACAAATATATTTTGAATGCCACTTTTTAAAAAAATCACCAAGTCCAACCCCCATATGATAAAAATGATAAATTAAGGCTATGGGAAGTTAAAAAATATGCTAAAGATGGTTAAGAGACATACTGAAAGTCACACAGTCAACAGAGAAGTACATGAAACCAAGTTCTCAAAAGTTTGTGTTTTGTTCTGCCAGTACCTGAGACCACTCTCAGATATATAGGTCCCCAGCTCTGAACCACTTTGTCAATATTAACATAGAACAGCATTATCTTTGTAACACATTTGCACTCTGATTCGTTTGTGAACAGGGTTAATGTGTCCTGTGACCCACAATGATTTTAGGGTTGCCACTTGAGCTGAACAGGGCCTTCCCTCCCACCTTCGAACGCAGAAACTCTGGGTGGGCATCCAGAGCAACTCAGCAACATGACTGCCATCACAAACATGTGCAGAAAGAGTTCTGACCTGTTGTGTTGGATGCCAGAGAATGGAATAGTTTTGTAGCTCTCCTTTGTGGCTTATTCCTTACTGAACAGCCATTCTGCTTTTGACCTGAAAAACTGGGCCAGGGAGATGCTGTACCATCAGGCATATTTCTTATTGGACTGTGAAAGTCTAGCATATGGCTAATTACAATTTACACCTCCTTAAGTGCTCTAACAATCCACTAAAGGCTGTTTTGTCTCTTTGGTTTACTGTTTGTAGCACTTTTTGCAGGCGAAGCAGTAAACAATTCCTTTGGAGGTACTTTTTAATTTCAAATGATGATGGAAGATGATGATCTTCTCTCTGGATTGTTAATGATATATTCTCAGCCTGATCTGTTAAATGACTGTGTTTCTAATGATGTGTCATTTGCTTTTTACAGTGTCCTGGTGACCAGTTTTCTATTTCTTCATCTTCCTTCCATGGTGGAGACATGCCCATTGAGGATAAAATAAGAACTAAGGTAGGTGAAGGAAAAATAAAGAAGATGAGATTTTAGGAACAAAATATCTATGACATAAAATGCACTAATAGAAGTAATAACTAATAAAGATATTTGAAGTGACTTGTTTCATTTTTGTACTCTTATTTTTGTCACTGCCCTTTTCAGCTGTGTGTTTGTGAGACAAAATTGTGCTCTGTGGCAAGAAGATGGGTGTCTCTTAAAACAGCATAGAATGGAAAAATATTGCCTCAAAGTTAACGTAGTTTTTAATTTGTTAGATATTAAAATGCAAGCTGATAACTAGACATCACTTAAAAAGAGAGGTTTTCTATTTAATGAAGTGGTTTGCACAGGGAATAGACGTTCTGACAGAGCTGGTCTATTGATGTTGGATGTAGAAGGCAGGATGAATTTAGTCCCAGGGCTCTCTACTGGCACTGCCAACAGGTGACCAGCTGGCACCAAATATGAGCATGACAGCTTGGTGCACTCAACTGAGACCCACGTTTCTATTTTCCTTCATCCAGGGAGTAGCTAAAAACATGATCTCTAATTCCCCTACTGGCATGGAACAGGGCAGAAATAAATGAATTTCCAGTTAACAATTCTAAGTAAAAATGTGTCCAATAATTTATAATTTTAAAGTTTAAGCTTAATAGTGTTTATAAAGTGATCCATGGACTAAAGTAATATAAGCCTCATGAGTTCTCCACCATATGAACATATTTAGAAAAGCTGACAATATGAGAGATTTCAAATTTGCAAATTCATCTTTGAGATCAATGTTAATGGGATGAATATCTTTAGGAAAAACTTATACCTCCTTGATGCAGATACACAGCAAGGAGAGAAGACTCAGCCCTTCTCCTTTAATCCTAAATTGTTTGATTTGACTGAAGCCCAACTTAGCTGTGATAAAGATTTTCACAAATATTTCATATGAGTTCTTGAAGTTTAATGTTTTCCTTTTCATTAATATTTCTCTTTTAAAAAATATATATATATATTTCTCTTTTAATTTTAAGGGTACCTTAAAAGGTGCCCTTAAAGCTCCCAAGGAAGGGTTTAAAAGAGGAAAAAAGGAGTTATGACAACCTGCTTCAGTGAGGCTCAGGATTATTACACCTCAGGGTCAGATGGGCCAATCAGACAGATGGACCTGAAACACCAAGGTGTGTCCCTTGAGCCCCAGCCAGCTGCTCTGTAGGAGACCAGGAAGTCTCAAACTTCCTACAAACAGTGGCTGTTTAGGACAGAGGGGCATCTGGAGTTCAATCACAATCATACCCACCTCCCTACTTCTCTGGCACCTTTCAAGAGAATATATATTCTTTCTTTAGGAATATATATGATATGTTCCCCAAGAAAATTTTAAAATACTTGCATACAGAGAACCAAAAGTACAAAGTTACATGAAACAAAATACTTTACAGAAAAGAGGCGAGAGGGCTGGTTATAGCATTGGTTGGAGGGGGAGTCTTATGAAAAAAGAACTTTGATATGATTGCTTGTAGTATTTTTTTAATAGCTTCCACTGCTCATTATATTCATTTTCCTTTAAATACATGAACATATTTACAATAACTAACTTTAAGTCCTTGTCCCCTCATCTGCTGTTCTATCATCTCTTTCATTTCTGGATTTGTTTCTATTGACTAATTTTTCTCCTGGTTATAGGTCTCAATTTCCTACTTCTTCTCATATATAGTAATTTCTTATTGGATACTGTAAGTTTCTTATTGGATACTGAAATTTTTTTATTGAGCATTGGAATTTGTTGTCTTAAGGGGTGGTAGAGTTTTTTCTAGCAGGCAACTAATTTACTTGTGCATTAGCTTGAGTCTTTGGAAACTTGTTCTCAAGCTTTGTTGGAGTGAATTTAGAGTAACCTTTACTACAGGGCCAGTTTACTTCTTCTAGAAAGGCATGATTTCTGAAGTTTCTGTGAATGCCCCACATGTTCAAAGTAGACTCTTCGACTTGGCTTTTGCCTCTTTCATACCTTGGAACTGCTTTTTCTGAGATAACCAGTAACTTCTAAATCCAAAGGATACTTTTCAGTTTTCATCTTACTTGACTTCTTGGCGGTGGCATTTAACACTGTTAACTACCCCTACGCTCTGGAAGCACTCACTTCTGTAGCTTTTGTTTCATGACATTCTCCTTGTTTTCCTCTTACCTCCATGATTATTTTGCAGGTTTTCCATCTCCTAGCCAATCCTTAAATATTACTCAGAGATATTTCCTCAATCCCTTTTCTCATTTTGTTCTATATTCTCTTTCTCCAGGGAATCCCATGATGTCTGTCCCATGGCTTCCATTACCCCCGATTTTACACTGAAAACAACACAGAACAAAACAAAACAAAACAAACAAACAAACCAAAAAAAAACCTGTGTATTCTCAACCCCAGACCTCTCATCCCAGCTTCAGATCCCTGTCCTCAATGCCAACTACTTCCTCAGTCTCTCTTTTTGGATATCTCACACATATTGTGTTCAAAAGTGACCTTATGACTCCAGCCCATGCACTACACCTGCTCCTCTTCCAAGGTTCCTGTCTCATTAAAAGATAGCATCCTGTTCCCCATACAAAAAAAAAGGCGGGGGGGGACTCATTCCTGAAACTTCACCTCTGATATATATGAATCATCAAAGATAATCCTTTTTTTCCTTCTAAATATCTCTTGAATCTGTTCCCAAGATCCAGTAAGAAACTATTGGTCCTGCACACCAGCCGGGTTCTAGAGAAGAACAGGTATACTTGGCATGTTGATGTAGCAGGGCTGAGACAGCCTCAGATGTTACCCACAGCCAGATTGTTTTAGAAGAATTAGGACATTTTCTAAGCATTTAGAGAATAGTCGAGACACGGTGTAGGGATCAGTGGACCTGAAAAAGTATCAAGATGGGACAAAAAGGGTACAGCAGAAGTCTGAGTAAATCATAGGCTCCATGGGACCAAGGGTGTGTCAGTGGATTCCAGAGTAGATGCACGAGCAAGGAGACCAGAGTATCCACCCACACCCACCTTGTACAAGATCCAAACAGACTTCCCTCTTCTAATTAAGCTGTAATACTGAGGAAGGAATGGAGAGACCTCAAATTGACTAAAAGCAAATGTTCAGCTTCCAGAAGAATGGGGGCTTGAAGTTGAAATTAGCTTCACTTATATAAAAAATAAAATTCTGCTTCTTGAAAAGGAATGAAAATCATACCCAATATGTGAATAATACCAAATACCATTGCTAAATACTTTATATTTAACCTGAATTGTGAATAAGCATAGATGCAAAGATCAAGTAGGTTCTGCAATTAGGAATCTCCACTGCCATCATTCTCTTCTAAGCCACCATCGTCTCTTGCCTAGATGTCAGTAATCATCTCCTGAATGTTCTCTCGAGTTCATTCTTCTTTACCTCCAGTCCCCTTCTCCACACCAATATGTAATGATTTTTTTTTGAGACGGAGACTCACTCTGTCGCCCAGTCTGGAGTGCAGTGGCATGGTCTCAGCTCACTGCAACCTCCACCTCCCAGGTTCAAGCAGTTCTCCTGTTTCAGCCTCCCAAGTTGCTGGGACTACAGGCACGTGCCACGTCTGGGTAATTTTTTGTATTTTTAGTAGAGATCGCGTTTCACCATGTTAGCCAGGATGGTCTTGATCACCTGATCACATGATCCACCCACCCTGGCCTCCCAAAGTGCTAGGATTACAGGTGTGAGCCACCGCGCCCGGCCTGTGATTGTTTTTTTGTTTTTTTGTTTTTGTTTTTTTTAATGCAGACTTGATCCTATCACTCATCTGCTTATAACCTGTTAACACTTTCTCTGTTCCTAGAGTCCAAATGCATTTACCAGCACCTCCAAAATCCTGCACTCCACTGCAGTTACCCCTCAGGTTCCCTTTCCTCCATTCTCTCCTTCACTCTCCCCACTCCAGGGGTAGTGCATTGGACTTCTTGAAGCTTCTCTAGTATGCTGAACCTATAGGACCCTTTCTTCCTGGAATACCCCTCTTCCTTCTCCCTCTATACCCACACCAACCTGTTAACCAGCCTGGCATCATTCACTTCCCTGCGTAAGTGCTACTTCTGCCTTGAAGCCTTCTTCCTTTGCTCAGGTCAGGCCAGAACCTGTGACACACTTTTATTGGCTCCCTGTCATTTTACCTCATAGCACTTTACCATACCTGGGCTCCATGAGAGGAGAGATGGGGCGTGCCAATCCTCAACACCCAGAACACATATAGCACCCCAAACGGTTGTCTGGCACAAAGAGGGCATGCAATGAATGTTGAATACATAAAAAGAGTCCAGAAAACTAATTCTCACCAAAATGTTAATTGATAGTGGTTTAAAGGACTTCTTAAAGGGTAGAGGATATCGAGGTAAACTTTGCAAACTTTAAGGAGTGCACCTCTACCGGCAAAGATTCAATTATTAGCATATTTCTTGCTAGAGGCTTCCTAGTTCCTGACATTTCAGTCTGTTCACTAAGAGAGAAGGGAACAGAGATATTCCTTAAATCCCTGTGTCATCTGTCCCCTGCCTGCCTCTCTCACTTCATCTTGTCCCACAGCTCCTCCCCTCTCCTGTGCTCTGCCCAGATGGGATTTGTTGCAGTTCCTTGACTGGTAAGTTCTTTCCCTGCCGGTCTCTGGTCCCTCCATGTGGGATGCTCTCTCCACCCCCATCTTGCTCTTTACAAGGAGAGCATCTTTACAACACAAATGCCACTGCCCAAGAGAGGCCAGCTCTGTTATTCCCTGTTGTTGCACTCTCTTTGTGCCTGTCAGAGCATTTAACCACAGTTGGTAATTTCATGCATTTATTTATTTACTTACTGTAGTCTATCTCCTTTACTAATCTGTAAATAAAGGCAGGGACAACATCTACTTTGTTCACTATTGTTTGCCCAGAATCTAGCACAGGGCCTAGGACATAGTTGGTAAATCCTATTTATTGAATAAATGAATATTTACAATAAAGCAGAGCTGATAAATTTATTGACTGTCACACCATATGTATCTTAAAGGGAAACTGGAATGTTTGTGTTAACATTACGGAGGTTTGGCAAGCCAAACATAAAAGTAAATCTAAAGTTGCATCTGAAAGATTAC